AAGAGTTATGCTAAAGTACTCCTCCATTTGTCTCAATTCCAATAAAACACTAAGCCTTAGCAATCTGTTCTCCTGTCATCATCATTTCAACTACCCATGTCCAGACACTCAGAAAGAGGATCTAAAAGGATGTTCTATAAATAGAGTTCATAAAATTTATGATAAAAAACAAAACAAAAAAAACTTCCACAAGGATATATAGCCTTGGAAACCCTATACAGGATCACTAAGAGTCAAAACGGATTCAAAGGCACTTAAAAACAACAATCGTATAGAAAGTTTCATGCTTTTATAAGATTTGTAGTAGAATTAAAAAGAGCTCTGTTCCCCTTGGTTTTTAGTATATTACAGGGATTCTCAAAGGACGAAGCAGTAGTATCTGAGACTTTTTCCAACCTGAAAATGTGGAACCCTTCCCACCATTAGTTCCTATATCAGTCACACAGTACTGATTCACTGATACAGATGACAGTGCCAATCTGTCACCTCCCTCAGGTATGGGGAAATCAAAATTTACATTGAGACACTAGAACATTCCGGTTCTGATGCTTTATCTATCTTCACTAGTAGTTTACATGCCAAGAACCATTTCAACCTACTGATTTTAAGGTATTCATCAATAAAACATTAAATAATAAAGATAAAAATATTAAATAAATATCATCATCTACTTAATATTTCAAATCTATACAAAACTATTAACTTAAACTTTTATATTTATAAATTCACAAGAAGATAGCTGCAGACAGTAAGAGAAACCAAGCTGACTTCCCAAGGACATTTTAAATTATTGATCCTTCTTTAAAGCATGCATAATTGAAGCAATCATAATCTCTTGTAGCAAAAAAGCTAGCAACAGCGAGGCAAGGAAAAACAAAGATATTTGAGCAAGCCACCACCAAGCTACCAAAACAAGTTAAGATGGCCCACAGTAACACTGGAGTCATTAAGGAGTCCCTGTCTTCTTGTTTCATTTTCAGAATGCACTTGCTGGTAATGCGCCGACAAATCAATAGCACTTATGCATCTTTTCATACATAATGGACAGATGAAACCCTGTGAAATAACAACTTTTAGGAGGATATACATCAAATATTACTTACAGAACAAAATGTAACAATAGAAAATGAAAATAGACAGACACAACAAAAAATAATCCGTATATCAATTTTATTTTTAGTAGAAACCAAACACATTGCAATTGTGTCAATTCCAACTCACAGAGCCACAACAAGACGGGGTGCGGCTGCTCCATAGGGTTTTTCAGGATGTATATCTTTAAGGAAGACCGTAGAAGAATTGATGCATTTGAGTTAGGTGTTGTGTTATTGTTATGTGCCGTGGAGTTGGTTCCGATTCATAGTGACCCTGTACAGGGTTTCCGAGGTTGTAAATCTTATGGGAGCAGAAAGCCTCATCTTTTTCCCGTGGAAAAGCTGGTAGTTTCAAACTGCTGACCTTAAGGTTGGCATCCCAACTCCTAACCACTACACTACCAAAGCTCCTTGAGTTAGGTGTTTGAGGAGAATATTAAAAGTACCATGGACTGCCAAAAGAACCAACAAATCTTGTGTTTGAAGGACTTCAACCACAATGCTCCCTGGAAGCCACGATGGCCCGACTTCGTCTCTCATACTTCAGACATATTGTCAGGAGGGACCAGTCCCTGGAGAAGGATATCATGTTTAGTAAATTCAAGAGTCAGAGAAAAAGAGGAAGACCCCTAACTAGATGGACTGGCACAGTGGCAGCAGCAATGGGCTCAAGGATTGGGCAGTGTTTCGTTCTGTTGTAGATAGGGTCGCTATGAGTCAATACCAACTCAAAGCCACCTAACAACAACAATAATCTTTAGGGAAGTAAATTATCTCAATTTTCTCCCTTGAAGTGGCTGATAGGTTCAAAACACTGACCTTTTGGTTAGCAACCAAATGCACTTAACCCAATGAACTCCCAAGGTTTATTTTTACTGTCCATAAGGAAGATTTTCAAATCTGCAAAAAGTGAAAGATTTAACTAAGCTTGTTGTCATGATGCCATCAAGTCAATTCTGACTTATGGTGATGCCATATAAACCCACCCACTGTGCCTGAGTCAATTCTAAATCAGAGACATGTAAGAAGACCACCCTATGAGTTGTCAAGCTTTGACCTTTCAGAAGCAGAATGTCGGGCTAGACTTTCCTAGCGTCTCAGGGTGGGTT